TTAAAAGACAAAGAAGGTAGCCCAGCATCTGTGCTTCAAGTTCATCTGTACCTCCCTGCCCCCTCCCCCACCCCTGATATTGGGAGGCTGAGAAGCAGGGGGGTGGGGAACATGGTTCAAGGCCAGTCCAAAGTCTGTGTGACAGAAAGAATGGTAAAATGCTATTAAAAAAAAGAAAGAATAAACCCGTGCAAATTATGAGAAAGAAGAAAGAGACGCTGTGGAGAGGAGTCATGGGGATGAGTGCAGATGAACAGAATGGGAAGAATTAGTACTGAAAAGGAAATGTTCAGGAGGAGACTAGGGCGGAGTCTGCCAACAACAAAGGCATGTTGTCGAAAAGGGGGAGAGCTGCAAAGAGTTTACACCAAGGCATACTGTCAGACACTCGTCAAGCTGGAAACCTCCTCTTACGGCAGTGTCGTTTCTCAAACGAGTTGAGGCACGAAGCCAGACTAGTTGGGTTTGAAGCACTGCTCAGTTACTTACTTCTGTATGCCCTGGGACAATTCCTTTGACTATCTGAGCCCTAGAGTCCACAGTCACATATTGAGGATAATGACAGAACTACTTAACACAGCTGTACAGTTATTTTTTTTTCAGCAGGAAGCATAAATGACAGAAGTTGTGCATATTGATAAGCAAGATAATACTGTGATACACACATTAGGACATTGTTACTACAATAAGGTTAAATAATGTATCCATGATTTCACTCCGTTGACTTTTGCGCATGTGCTAGGGTGAGAATAATTAAGATCCACCTTCTTCTTGGGAGGGTGATGTAGCTCAATGGTAGAATGCTTACCTGTTTGGTGTGAGGTCCTGGACTTATTCCCAGTACCACAAACAAGCAAAACTATTTTCTTCGCTGATCTAAAAAAATACACTTTATTATTAACTATAGACACCATGCTCTCCATTATGTCTCCAGAATTTATTCAAACTATGCCTGAAATCCTGCATATCATTTAGCCAGCATCTACCCCTTACACTACTGACCCTACACACCCATGAATACTGCCCCGTGGCTCATTCCTGTCATCTTAGCTACTGGAAGGCTGAGATACCAGGATCAGGATTCAAAGCCAACCCAGGCAGGAAAGCCCATGAGATTCTTACCTCCAAGTAAGCACCAAAAAAACCAGAAGTAGAGCTGTGGCTCAAGTGGTAGAGCATTAGCTTTGAGCAAAAGAAACTCAGGGACAGTACTCGGGCCCCGAGTTCAAGTCCCAGAGTTAGCACACACATACACACATGCACTCACACACACTCTCACACACACACAAATTATGCTTCTATACTCTGACCGTGTTTGTCCTTTCCATATTCCACCTAAAAATGCAATTATGCCATATCTTGATTCCTGCATGTGGTTTATTTCACTTAATGTTCTACAGGTTTACTCATGTTTATTCATGTGACAGAATTTGTTTCTTTTCAATGCTGAGTAGTCCTCCATTTATCCCTTTATCTGCTAGCAGAAAGGTATGTTGTTTTAATGCTCCTGTGCTAGAGATGTAACTTTCTCTACTGTCCTCCACACCTTATTATTAAAATGAGCAGCAATCAAGATGGGAGATTAGATATGTCTTCCATAAGCTCATTTCACTTAGACTGACTTCTAGATTTATGCCCAGAAGTGAGACTGCTCAGTTATACAGAAGTGCTATTTGAAACCATGAGGTAACCTACATGATGTTTTGCACAATGGCTGTGTCCATTCACATAATTTGCCTGCCAAGAACAATGTATGAGGGTTCCCTTCTCTCTACATCCTTGCCAGAACAAAGTATCTATTGACTTTGTCATAAAAGCCTCCTAATAGGTGTCAATTGATATCTGACTGGTTGGGTTCCCATTTCCCTGAGGGTTAGCAATGTGGAACAGATTTTTTTCCCCATGTTGACCATTTGTCTGTGGTCTGGGAAGAAAAAAAAAATGTCTTTTCCCATGTTTAATCAGTCGACTTCCTCTTTTGTTGTTGAATCTTGCCACCTAAATACCAGTTTGTTACGCCTAATTTCAAGGGAGTCTTAAAGACATTAATATGTGTTCTTCAGTATATTCAGGGAGAAAAATCAAGAACAGAAAGACACAAGCTCCCCTAACCCAGAGATATGGGCCACCGGGGTAAAGGAAGAATAGCCCAGGTGTGAGAAAGTGAACAGGGTAACAAGGAACACTGGAGTTGAATTGGACAGTGACATCCTGATCTCAAATACACAAGAGCTAAATGACAGCCTTTGTTAATGATGCAGGAAACGAAGGCAGAAGTCTAGAGAATCATGCATTTCTCAGGTAATCCGGAGTTTATGTTAAGGAATATCGATTATCTTAAATTGGCACTTGGGTTTCTAGTAAGCCACACTGACTGACGAAGACAGATGATACAGACATGGCTTGCACTTCCCAATGTGCTTAAACAATGAACATTATCACTCCCTCCTCTTCACACCTTTGTATATGTGCAAAAAATGCTACATTTTATGCACACGTGCATGTGTGCACACACACACACATATGCACTCTCTCCCCACATATTAGGCTCAGAAGACCAAGTCGTGGTGAGTTTAAGTGTCCGAAGGTTACAAAGCCAAGAAGCTAACTTTCCATCCAGCATTAAAAGAGTTCTCTACAAATCTGAGCCCAGCTCAATGTATATCCTAAAAGATGCTGTCTGGCGGGAGGAGTTTTGTCAGGTCATGGAATGTAAAGCTTATGTCCACCCTGGTAACTCACCTTTCAGAGAGTCCTCTGCAACCCTCTGACAAACCTATTAAACCAGGAGGAATTCCTTAGGTGACCCTATCTCATTAGCCTGGCCAAGGGTGGGGGTGCTGAGGCGTGCACACGCATTCCCAGTGTGCACACCTAACACCTCTGTACCAGACCGAGTTCTGCGCAGTTCTCTAACAAACAAGACAAGCCAGAGTCAGAAAGAAATCCAGACCCGTGTTCAGTGTTGAGCAAAGATCCAAGACTGCAAATCACAGCATAAATGGTATTTCTACTATTATGCAGTTCCTAGCTTCATGGTTTCCCCAATCCTGACATGGTGATTACAACATAATAAAAGTGAATGGATACCAGGATCTGTTATTATCTATCAGTTCAGTCATGGCCCAAATCAGAGAGAAGTTTCTTCAAACCAATTCATTTACCCAGTCTGAAGTTTCATAGCAGGGTTTGTCTTTATCTCAAGATTTTTTTTTTTAATTTTATCTTTAGCTTTCTTCTGTCACCTGTTGGCTATTTAGGGGCATCTTACTTCATTTCCCTATATAATTTCCATCTTGTTGCTTTGTATTTTATTCTCTACTTAGAAGATACATATTTTACTAAATTTATTTCTAGTTTGATGTCCTTGCTTGTCACACATATATGAAAATCTTGTTTTTGTTTCTGAAATCTTTTTCTACTTTGGATCGGTTATTACAAGGAATCCATATTTGTCTATGGGGTAAGGCAGGTATCAATGTTTTTATTTTATCCCTATGAATACTAAAGTATCTCACTAGCATTTTCCAAAAAGTTTTCGTCCCCATCCCTGCAAATATGTCAATTTTGAAACAACTTAAGCTACATGTTGCCAAATACACATGAAAGTCCATTACTTCCCGCTTTTCCTCCTCCTTTGATGGTTTAGACTATTTTTGTACCAATATCCCCATGGTCTCAGTTATCATACCTTTATCATAGATCTTGAGATCTGCTAATGTTCACTTGATGCAATATTGCTTGGGCTGTTCTTAACACTCTTGTATTTCCATATGATCTTAGAATCACCTAGTCAATTTTTGAGAAAAAAGAATAATGATCAGAACTGTAAACAGCATGCTGCAATGCGAATCTGTTGGATTCTGTAATGCCCAAATGCCATCCTTTCTACTGATGATGGAAGTCATGGCCTTGCTAAATTCTCAATGGCTCAAGTCACAGCACTAGCCCATGGTGCTATCCATAGTTTCTTGATAGACTCTCCACTGGCTGGCCTAATACCAGGATCCTCCCTTCTACTTCACCCTCATAGCTGGGACACAGATACATACCATCACACCTTCCGGTCATTCAAGACACCTGCATTTTATTCACTACTGGCCTGTGAGCTCAAGAGCAAGGGAGGTGGGGAACTGGAATATGCCAAAGAGAAATCATAAAGTGCTTCCTTTAGGTGACACTGTGAAAGTTCTCTAAATGATAAGAAAAAACTCTGAGTAAATGGAATATAGCTCTTTTCTCCACAGGAGAGGGAGAAGGGATTAATTACAAGGATGGGTAGTGACTTTGGCTTTGGGCATATCCCCCAGGATGCCAGGAACCACTGGGTTTCCATTCATCTGACAGGTCCCTTGCAACTTTGAATGTGGAATGTCCCTTTAATCAATTAATTGTTTTCATCTAATGTCTATTAAGGTTGATTCCATTTAGCTCCTCCATCCCTCACAGCCGGTCTTTGGTTCCCGCCCCCCGCCCCCTAAACTTTCAACACTGAGAATTCCAGTTAGACTAAGAAGGAAATAAGTCCTAGCTAAGGTTGCTTTCCCATGGGGAAAATTGTTTCATTTTGAAATTCTGTCGCACAAGAACAACAATAAAGTAGCAGTTTCATTTAAAAAAAAAAAATAAGGGGTTATTTTGCTCCTGGAAAGTTTTTTATTCAAATGACTAATCGGATCTCACATGTCAGCTTAAAAAAATATATCTGACTTAGGTCCTTACAAAATGACAGATGATAAGCTGGGTGATAGTTTGGAGCAAGACAATGAAAGCATTGTTTACCCAGAAGATTGAGTAACTCGTTCAACAAAAGAGTTTCTTGGGTATCTATTGTACGTACAACTAAGAGACTTACGGAGGCTCTTATAATCTCTGCAAAGCTCTTTTCCAGCCAGCTTCAATAACTTGAAGCAAATCAAATCATGCAGAAATCTGTCTCTACCAGAAAGAAACCTACGAAGATACAATATGAAGAAAGAAACAAAGAAACAGACACAAGATAAGGTTTAGAATGGTCGGCTTTTTCTCATAAACATTTTGTTTGATTATTATTAAATTACAACCCAGAGACAAAAGGGAAAAAAAAACCACGTACACACACAGTAAAGTCACTATTAAATTAGGTCTTTTTACCTCAACCTTTCTTTACAATACATACACATATAAAATTGCACGTTAAGATATGCATGAACATCAGTCATTGAAGATTAAATATCATTCGGACGTAGATCCTTGTATACATTCCAGATATGCACAAAGTCGAGGCTTTTTTGTTTGGTGGGTGGAACTGGATATGTGCAGGAGTTAGGTACAAGCAAAAGAACACTTCGGGGTGGGATCTTTCTTACAAGTGTGGCTCTGAGACAAATTTGTATTGTAGATAGCTTATTTTGACCACAGAGAAGCAAAAAATGATAGAGAGGCCCAGAACACGACCGAAATGGTGATATATTTAAGTCAGCAGCTGCTCTCTCAGTCTTCTCCATGCAGCGATCTCAATACTCTCAGAATTAATTTTTTTCACCCCCTCCTCCCATCCACGCAACAGCCCGGCCTTTCCCTAACTCCAGGCTGACACACTGTTTATGGAGAGCGGTGGTTACGCTGAGGCAGGAGCTCTGGCATTTTGAAGGTGACACAATCCTTGCTGAAAACAGATCCCTCGGGACCCCTCTCTAGGCCAGCAATGGACCAAGGTGCAGGCTGGCACCCAGCTGTGCAACACACAGGTCCTCAAAAGGCCAGGATTCCTTCCGGAAAGCATTACAAATGTGTTTTTTCTTCTTCTGTTATATATTTATCCGCCTAGATGATGGTTACCACAGACTCACTAAATTGAAAGAAACTTTGAGGGATACCCTGCAAGAAGAATGGGGGTAGGGTGAAGAGATTGTGTTGGAGAGAGGCTGTGGCCGTGTAGCTCAGTCAGCCGGGCCTGGCATCCACCACACAGTCCAAGCTGATACCGAACTCTCCATCCATATGCTTCAGCCTCCCCCCTCCACCCCTGGCTGGGGTGTGGGGGAGGGAGGGAGGAGAGAGGGGAGGGGGGAAGCTGAGATTACAGTTGTATGCCACCATACCCAACGGGGAACAAGACAGTAATGAGAATCAGCTGGAGGGAGGGGCGGAGGGGGTGGAAGTCAGAATTATTCTGGAACCCATGTGTGTCTCCTGCTGTTCCCCGGGGGGGTGGGGGGGGAGGGGAGGAGGGGTTCATTCTTCAAGCCAGTGGAAACTGTGCTGTGGTAGCATCTTCTGATCCAGACTCCATGTTGTCTCCTGGGGGGGGGGGGGTCTTTTGGGTGAGTGGCTGGGTCTCTGCATCTGAGACACCCAGGCGTAGAGATGGCTGCATGTAAAGAAGAAGAAGACAGGATCCAGGGAGGGGTCTACACAGCCCAGGGCCGCATGTCCGGATGCCAGTTTGGTTGGGCACACAATCTAGAGAGTGCTGCGCTTCTTCCTAAGGGGACTCTGGCTGCCGCAGGGTTTCAGTTCTGCATACTGCACCTGTGAAAACAAGCAGACGCGAAGCCAGCGGTTAGGTAACCCTAGCTTACCACCGAGTGTGTTAATGGCTCCCCAAGGCACTGGGAGGAAGGGTCAAAGGTAATGAATCATTTTCTGAACGCCAAGAACATGGGTTGGGGGCAGGCGGGCTGGGGTGGGAGAATTAATTGCAGGAAGGATTTGAGAAGCCATGCATCATTTCTTGAAACCCCCAAAAATATCAAAAGCAGATATTTTTTTTCTCTCCCCTTCCCTTCCTAATGAGATGCGTGGAATTCTACCTGCGCCGGGCACGGCCAGATGATCTAAGTTTCGTGCACTGTGCCAATTTTCAACCATAAGGAAGTTTAATGACCACCTCTTGGGAATGTTTATCTTCATCAAGGACATACTTAACTTAGGGAGATTTATTCATCTAAAATATATATATATAAACCTAAAATCTCAGCCAATTAGAGTCATTTATTTTCCCTAAGAGGGGAAAGAAATGGCAGAAATTGATACAGGGCCCCCAGACTTCTATAAAGTTCTCTTTTAAAAGAAATTAATTCCGCTTCCAATACAATGGCTAAAACATCTGAGTCAGGCACAGGGGCTCAGGGAGATGCCCTTGGCATTGTGGCATGGTGCTGTTAGAATGCCCCCTTCGAGGGCTGGGAAGGTGGCTCAGTGATATAGCACTTGCCTTGCATGCATGAGGCCCTGGGTTCAATTCCTCTGCACCACATAAGCAGAAAAAGCCGCAAGTGGCGCTGTGGCTCAAGTGGTAGAGCGCTCGCCTTGAGCTGAAGAGCTGAGGGACAGCGCCCAGGCCCAGAGTTCAGGCCCTCACAACCAACAAAAAAAAAAAGAATGCCCCCTTCACCAGGCCAGGAGCCACTTGCAAACATTCTTTTTGTTGAATCTCCCTGTACACAAGCCAACTCCCGCTGGAAGACCACTCCCAGAGGACTGGTTCTTCTCTCTGCATAGACAGTCCTGCAAGGGGCTTGATGGAAACTTCTCTTCTCTGAGGATACAGCCTGGACCTCACAGGGTGTCACCCCCCCCCCCCCCAGTGATGGGACAATGCAAACACACCACTTAGCTGTGTGGCTGGGACAGGTACTGGTAGAAACGATTGTATGACTGACCCCATGGGCTGGCTCATTCTAGCATTTGTGCCAAACTGTCCCCAAGGACATTCTGCCCAATCAGGAGATAGGCTACCAGAGGCCGAAAGCAGATACATGCAAAGATTAAAAATAAAACACCACTATTCCTTCTAGTGTTTGGTGACCGTCTAAGGGACAAAAATGATGATCATCTCCCACAAAGCAGAGTCCAGGTCATCTTTAATTGTGTCACACCGATGTGAAAGAAAAAGATGCATTTCAACAGCGAAATGTATCAGGAAATGAAGGCCAAAGTGGGGGATAAAATAGCGTCACGGTCAGTTTTAATCTCCAAAAACGTGGAATTAAGAGGGAGAGGAATTCTGAGAACTGGAGGCCCCAGGAATCTCAAATCCACCCAGAGATATCAGGGGGCCGGTTGTGTTCCAGGAGACCTCACAGTGGAAAAAAAAAAAAAATCAATATTTGATTTGGGATTCTCTCTGAGAATAAGGAACTGTGCCTTTGATGGTCATGATTTCACACCACGGTCTCCCACCTACCTACTCAGTATTAGAGAGAGAGCTCCCTGCCTTCCTTTCCTCTACACGGAGAGTAGGCTAAATCTGCAGGACCACAGCTCAAGCTGTTCTCTGGGGCTGCGCTGCCTTTGTAAGCCTGGTTATCCACAAAAAATGAGACACTGCTGGACTAAGCGTCCGTTCCCTGTGAATAATACTTGCGATTGATCTCAAGTTATTTCCACGACATGTATTAGAGAAAACCAGGGACTTCGCCCTCAGCATCCCTAAAGTCTTTAAAGGAACAAGGAGAGAAAAGGGGAAATAACTGGGGGCAAACAAGCAGAAATAATAATAATAATAATCCTCTTGTCCTCATACTTCCCCAGAAAATGCCTGCCACCCGGAAGCAGCAGAAAGGAACACCCGTCCCGTGAGGATCTGATGTGATTCCAGTCCTTGAGCTCATCTTATCCTCTTTAGGGAGACGAGCAATCGAAGCGGGGAGGAACGCCAACCAGCCACTCCAACGGCCGCAGCTCAGTGTGAGCTCCCAATCGTTCCTAAGTACCTCTTTCCCGGGATAATTTTCACCATCCTCTCAAGCTTTAGGCACCAGGTGTTTGGATTTGTGTGGTTTTGCACCTCCCTGTAAGCCAGGTCTCCATTTTGGGGATTTTTTTTTTCCTGGCTCTTTGTTCTCAATGACACAAGCAAAAGCCCTGTACCCCTGGAGCACCAGGCTAGCAGGCCCCTGTTAGTGACAACCATGGACTACAACCATTGACTACGTACCTTTTGAACATCCGATGGTACCCTGGAGAGAAAGTCTAGTAGCTCATTATTGTCGATCGAATAGGGATTTCGAAGCTTCTTCGTAAATTTATTTATGCCTGGAACGAAAACACAGAAGCCCTCGAATATATCTATCTTTAAAAGACTTTGCCGATGGGCGGGTGGGGGGCAGCATTCACAAGTAAAAATTAGTGTGAAAACAATGACGAGATTGCAAGTCATGCACATCTGTCATTTGAAATCACTCACAAAGATTTTTTTTTTCCGTGAAGGAAAGAAACTGGGGAGGGGGGGGAGCGAGTGGGGAATGGTAGAAGAGGGGCTCTCTCCTCTTCAGCTGTGAAAAAGCCCATTACAATCCCAGCAGTGCGGCAGCAAGAAACACACTACAACTGGGGAGCTCATTGGCTTCTTTTTCTTTTTTTTCACTTTTGGAAGATGGCTGATTAACAGCCTCCTCATCTATGAACACAAACGTCCCAGAGGGGAAAAGGCCTTCATTACCCAAAACAAGTCTCTGCTTGGAGCCTGTGGACCCAATGTGACTGGGGGAGCGGAAGGCGAGAGTTTTCCTTCTCAAACACAAACTGCAACAATCCCCCGCCCCTAGTCTCTACTTCCAACTTATTTTCACAGGATCTCTGTCTGTCTGTCTGTCTCTGTCTGTCTCTGTCTGTCTCTCTCTCTCTTTCCCCCCTCCCTCTCCAGAACAGAACTTGACATGTCGATTGTACTTTGCTGCAGGAAACTGTGAAAAAAGGAAAGTTATTATTGGAAAATGATCTGACTATGGTAGCTAACTTTAATGTATAGAATGCAACGCCAGCATGTGGGTTTAGCTGCTGGGCGGTGGAAGGTGTGCCAACTGAAGACCAGCCAAGGGTAATGAGAAGGGGGGAGTCCAGCATTGAAGACATCAATGTATACTGTAAGCTTCTGTCTTGGGTTGCTGTAACTTTGGGCATGCCCTGAGCACATCTCCCAAGCTCTCTCCCATAAGAGGAGAGACTTCCTCTCAATCATGCTTGAGTATCTACCATGTTCCTCAGGGCTGCATGCCTGCTATCCAGTTCATGAACAATAGTCCTTTAAAAAAAAAAGGCAACTTCTTTTTTTTCCTGTTGAGTTTTAGAAGCAGAAAGATTCGGTGGCCTTCTGAAGTTTTGCCACAGAGTGCTTAACAAGGATCGTATCCGAAGCCCTGTCAACCTCAATGATGCTGAATGAATTCTTCACGTAGGTGTGCTCTAAATGTTAAGTTCAACAGTTCCCAACACACATACGTGCGCACTCACACACACACACACCACACACACACAAGGTTTGATGTTTTCTTTTGTTCAATAAATATGACTTTGCTTTCATCTAAAGACTAGACTTCCTGCACAGCATTATACCTAACACAATGCCAGTCCCTGGTTCTTTTCTTTTGGGGGGTCAGATTTGCATCTGCTTTGCAAATGGGGGGCAGCCATTGTTCATGGGTAAATGGTGGCCAGGGGGAAAAGTTCTCTGCAAACGATCATCTTTCCATCGTCAAAGCTGTGCTCTGCCTTTCTTCCCTCTACCCTGACTTGCAAGCCTCATATTTCTAACTACCCCCCACCCCAGAGTTCCTTTTAAACCAAAATACTCTTGCTGTGTTATTCTAAAGACATTTAATTGTAGCATGGGCTTTTTGGCAAAAGAAAACAGACAAGGCAGAATGATGAAGGGAAACAAAGACGTATTGAGAAAAGATATATCTCCCATTGTTAATTATATATAGTGCGCGCATCTGGAGTCTTTACAATGAACAGCAAGGCAGGGATAATATCACAGCCGATCAAAACACTGCATTCTTAGTCACTGAGAAGATTATAAACCTGCACAGTAGCTCAAATGCACCAATAAAGGCAGAAGTAGTCCACAATGCACTAGAACTGTCTACATTTGGGGGGGGGGGGGAAACTTTGAATAAAAATTACAAGGCATTCAGATCCCATGCTTCAAAAGTACACCTTATTTTTTTAAGGTCTCTCAGTCATGACTATTTGAGTGATTCTACCATATTATCTGTTATGGAAGATCAAGTGTGAGCAGATCATAACTCCTGGGTCATGGTAAAAGGGGATGGGACAATGTAACCAAGGTTATGGAGCAGGAAAACCCGAGCCCCAGATCCAGCTTGATAATGTATTAGCTGTGTGGTTTCAGGCAAAATACTTAACCCTCCTCTGTCTCTTGTTATCCCACAAATGAAATCTTTTTCTTTTTTACATAAATACATTTTATTGTTATTGTAGAGGTGATGCCTATAGTTACGTAAGTTACAGTTACGTGAGTCAAATAAAGAATACATTTCTTTTGATGCCAATTTTGAACCCTTTCCCTTCTCTCTCCTAGGTTTTCCCTGGCCCACAAGTGGTATAGTTCATTTTCCACCTGGTATCTAGTACAAATGAAATCTTTATCATAAAAGTGTTGCCCTATGTTGTTTCCAGGGTTGATACAATATCACCGGATCCCACAGGCGAGAGGATTCTGTAATCTGTAGTCTGGAAATGTCCCATGACATACAGGATAAAGAGGTTTTGCGCTGTTAGATATGCAATCACAGCCAAGCTGTAGACATCAGCATGCCCACTGTCATTGTCGTTGTTGTTTTTTCAATTTTCTTCTTGTTTTTACAGCCAAGAAGAAAACAGAAAAAGACAAGGGATAAGATTGGGGGGGGGGGAGACAAGAAAAGAACCATTAATGGCCCTAGATCATAGACCAAATGATCGATGAGGCAGACTGGAACGCTCTCATAGGAAAGAAAAACAAATCATCACTTTATTATCAGGCACTTGTACAGGTAAGTAGCAAGTGGCCCTGAGTATAATAACTTTCAGTGGGGCAGAAGAGCCTGCATATTCTTTTGGAAAACCCTGAATGTTTTTCCTATAAGAGAGATTATGTTATCAACTGGAGAGTCAAAGGTAAATGAGTTGTGGATCCTACATTTTAGCTCAGGGAATTTATACCCTCCTAGCAAACTCAAATCCAACTGAGCAATGGTTATCTGAGTGTGTATGAAGAAGGGGGGGGGGGTGGGAGAAGTCCTGGAATCTTTTTTTAAAATTTTTTTCAAAATAATGCTTTCTTGACTGTTTTAATCATAAACTTCCTTTTCAGTAGTATATTTTATTTTTATCATTCTTTAAAATTTTCTTTAAGTAGTTGTACAAAGGAGTTGCCACTCAACAAAGCAGTTTATGAGTTCAGCTCTTCTGGAAATAAGGCTTTCAAATAAGTCTCTAAATTCCAGTAGATGTTTCCTAAGGAAAACTTTGGTAACTTGATTGAACACCTATTTGTCAGTTAAAAAAAAAAATCTCTAGCCAGGCATGGTGGCTCATGCCTATAATCCTAGCTACTCAGGAAGCCTGGGCTGGGCAGGAAAGGCTGGGAGACTCTTATCTCCAATAAACCGCTCAGAAAACCAGAAGTGGCACTGTAGCTCAAGTGGTAGAGTGCTAGCCTGGAGCTGAAGAGCTGAGGGACAGCACCCAGGCCCAGAGTTCAAGCCCTACCACTGACAAAAAGAAAAGAAAATAAAAAACCTCCCACACAAGAGTTCTAGATACAGGAAAAGCAACTCCAAAGAACAGAATAGAAGGAAAAGGGTGGTTGGGAGGAAGTCTCTTATATACAGGAAACCTTGGGTAGAGTGTCTTCTGAGCATGCCCAAAGCCCAAGGTAGAGCTACCAAGGATAGAGACTGTATAGTGTACTGGCATCTCAAACGCTAAACCTCGCTTTCATTACCACCGCCCCATCCTAAGTTATCGCGCACTCCATCTTCCAGGTGAGCTCATATGCTGGCGTTGCAGTACACAAATTGTTAGCAACCATTCACAGCAAGATAATTTCCCGATGACCCAACTACTTTCCTGATGCTTATGGAGAATGTGGGAATCTAAAACCTATGTGCAGATGTATTCTATTCTCTGGAGGAAAAAAAAAATAACCTAGCAAATTTTGGGCTCTTTGTCTACTTTAGGAGTTAAAACAGTTAACTTATGTCTTCATAAAGATTAAAAAAAGAGAAAGCATTAGAACCTTCATACACATAAATAACAAATTGGCTGGGGAAAAGACAAAAGTCCTAATAAAACTACAGAACATATTCCAGGGTGAGCTCACAGGTTTTCCATGATGAGCCAGGCAATAACTTCTGACTAGTAAGCTCATCAGGAAACTATGAGCTTCTGTGTGGAACCTAGAACTAGAGTATAAAACTCAATGTTTTGGCCCACGAGAGAGCATAATAAACTCCAGTTTTATCCGTAAATGGAATCAGTGTTTCATTAAGTAAATGCATAGAGTTGTTTTGTTGTTGTTTTTGTTGGAAACCTGCCAAGATCTTGGAGGATAAGATCAGCAATCGAGTGATTTGGGTAAATAGGAAGAAGGAGGCATCCCAGGTTTGGCAATTAAATTGGGACAGACCAACACAGGAGGTGCCTACAGGGGTCACATCCTTGGATTCCACAAGCCATAGATCGAAAGTATTAGCAAACATCATGTCTATATAGAACATGTACAGGGATTTTTTTTTCCTTGTCACTATTACCTAAGCAATACAGTGTAACAATTACATCGTATTCATAGAGATTGATGCCAGGATATATACAGGTTATGTGTAGAGTCGGTGCCATTTATTTACTGGATGGGAGCTTCTGGTTTTGGGGTGATGTTTGGGTATCCACAGTGGGTCGTAAAAAAAAAACTGGTGTATCAGCCTTCTCTATGGAGAAAAAGATGCACGGAACCAAGCATGTCCCATGTTTGCAAGCCAACTGTGACAGTCAACTTACATGAACTTGAAAATGAACAAAACACATCAAAGGAATCACACCTGGGTAGGATCAAACAGAAAATTTTGAGGTTTAAATGTGGTCTATAATTGGATTTGGAAACTAATTCTTACGGGGGGGGGGGGGGAGATTATTCAGTCAATGTACATTAAGATTTAGTATATGAAGTCTTCAGCTAAAGACTTTGGCCAAAAGATGCCTGCATAATCAGTGGGCCACCAAGGAAGCTCACAGTTCCTCCCTCAGGACCACAGTGTTAGCATTGTTGCCAACTAAACAAATCTTAGCATGACTAGGAGAGGACTCGGACCCATGAAGAGAGGGCTAGAATGTTGCTTCTTCTTTACCTGGACTTACTAAAACATTAAACAACATAGGAACGATTGGATTATAGTCTCTCAACATCTTTCTTGTCCTATAGTGATATGAATTGTCATACTTATCCCATAACTCTCTCTCTCCCTCCCTCCCTCCCCCATCTATCTCTGTCTCCATTCCTGAATGTCTAGTGTTGACTTCCACATCTCACCAGAGTTCTATATCTAGAGATGTTCATGGTTCTACAAGAATGGTAGATTTTTTTTTTAACCAAGCAATTGTAGGTCCTCCGCTACTGCCCCAGGTGAATGCATGTCCAAGCAGCCTCTCACCTAAGTCAACTTCCTGCACGTCTTTACCTGAGAAGATGCCCAGAAGTTGGGAGAACGGAAACCACACAGCCACAGATAAAGGCTGTATCAACTTCTCAACAAACAGGTCAGACACCTCCTGTCAGTCAACCCAGATCCCACCCCTCAACGGGCAAAATCGCAGAGCTTGCTTCTATTTCATCCCACAGCAAGGTGATGAAATCAAGTTCTGAAGTGTATTACAAGACGGCCATTGTGGTCTTCTTTCTTTCCCTCCCTCCCTTCCCCATTTTTGTTAGTACTGGAGTTTGAACTCACAAGCCTTGCATTTGTTTGCTGGGCACACAACTCTACCTACTCTGTGGGTCACGGCCCCCAGCTTTGTGTTTCCTTTACTTCTAAGCAACTAAACTTTATATAGGAACACCATTTCCCCCAGCCATTATCAGTTGCCTTCCGTTCCTCACATCGCTCAAGTAGTCACAGAAAGTCTACCCCCTCACCCATTCCTTCTGGATTTGAGTATGGCGTGAGTTAGTTATTATCGTCTCCCAAAGAGATGAAGTAATACGAGCAACCTGGTGGGCAACTAAATCTTTTACAGCATGCACAGGGGCAAGATGCAGGTGTGTGCTTGCAGGGCGGGCCTCCGCGTTTCTGGAAAGTTACCGGCCGCAGCGATGTATTGTTCCAGAGGATTTATGACTGGGGAAAACCGGGAGGGAAATGGTCTGCGCAGTCGCGTGTTTTTATTTGATCACAGTGATGCAAAGGCGCCATAAATATCTATACAGATCATTCATGCAACTGGGCTTTCCGGGGAGGTCCTGGAAGATTTTCTTCCCCAAATGTTTCCCTTTGGTCTCGTGTTTAATTGCCAACGAGAGCACATTTAAAAGTTCACAGTTGTACTTTAAGAGTTGAGTAATTGGTTCTTACCTCGAACTGCCTGCTAGCAGGAAGGCCAAGGCAAACTTACCCCAGATTAAAACGATGTAACGCAGAGGAACGAAGTACAAGATGACAGTAATGATGGCAAGGACCAGGCAGGCCAGCATCGAGAGGAAAGGGACCGTCCAGTTAAAGGTGCTGTGGACAAACCACATCGATGTCATTTCCTTGAAGCCCAGAGACTTCCACAGTCACCCTGGCAGGTGTATTTTGCACGGGTAGTAAAGCCAAGTCTATTGGCCAAGCTTCTTGAAGCCATGGACTTACATGTCCTTTCATAAAGGATTGTCAAGATCAAACTCCACTGTATGATTTGAGACCCATTAATGAGGAGAAAGAACATCGCCCAGTAGCCATTCTACTTGTTAGAACAGCACTGATTTTGCTTTCCGGGAATCAGAAGTTCCTAACAGAAGACTTATTTTGGTCAAAGAAGTAAGTAGAAAACTCCAATTCTACCACACATGTAGACAAGTAAGCATTAGTTTGATCTATATGCTTCTACCTGGAAAAACAAAGGATGTAGTAACACTTCTATCACAGGTAAATTTGCTAGAGTTGAGCGTAGTCTTCTATTTTAGTAGTGAGTTCAAGATCTGGCACACTGTATACTCTCAACCGGAGGAAAGGAGTTTCCTACTTGTGTGTTTTCTCTGACACTGTTTTCTTGGCTTTGTTCTTAGTGTTTTAAAGTACCTCTTTGGATAGTAAAGAAATCAGTGCTCTGTCATGATTTTATGTTTTATTTTAGCTCACTTTTTTTTTTCTATTTAGTAAGCTTTGTCTTTATCTTGTTCATAATTTAAAAAATAAAGATACATCTTCTTACATGATCAAATTCATCTTTATGTTTCCTTGTCAGTTTCTGGATTTGGTCAAACGATTACAAGCCTACCGCTCATTGAAGTGTTTCCTCCATTTCTTTATTGACGATTTTGATACACCTATGTAGAACCAGCCCACCCTCACCTTTTCAGAGTAAAACTCGTAACAAAAGATTGGGGGCGGGGGTAAGTTCGAAAGATGTGTCTGATTATAGGTGGGCTTCACATTTGCTCCAGCCACCTGGGGTGGCAAAGCATCAAACTTGCAGCGATCCCTAGTCACGTCACAACCCCAGACAAGCCCCATGAATGTCCATCGGTGCAGCTCACAACAGCAGCACTTACGAAGAAAATAACCTCACGAAGAAATCCCTCTACAAAATATCCAAGGCAATGAAAAGCTAGATTTATACTCTGCAATAATGCATGGGTGTGGAAAGCTATGAAAACAAAGACTATCCACGCACCCAAAACCACAAAATGGATGTTCAAGGTAGAAATAGTGAAAAATATACATATAAGTATATTTGTAATATGTAGTGAACAATTGCATATAATATATAATTACATATGTTACATAACATTAAAATCACATGTAATATATACTTGCATGCTATATATAAATAATTCTATATAATATATAAATAATTCAATACATTAATAATGACATATAATATGTAAATAATTATAGCTATATCACTGAATTTCTACATGTATAAATTCTGTACTTACAGGTTTCATCCCGAGCAAACCTCTGAAAGATACTTAATGCTAACTAGCTATGATTGAAGAGGAAGAAGGTACAGAATGTGGTCGGAGACACTGCTTCATTGGCTGTGTTTGATTATGTTTATAATGGACTCCTACCAGCTATAATAAAATATCAAGACAAATATTCAACGGCATTAGCTTTTTTGCTTTTTTTTTTTTAAGTGCAAACATAACGGGAGATCCTGGATACAAATCCACTCTTTTATTTTTCACCCTGGCAGATTACTAACTTAGTATGTTATAATTTGAAATTTTTCTGTTCAAACATTCCTTAACCAGAAGCATAAGCACCAATATTGCACCAAGCTCTCGGTGTTTTACTCACGTTTCACATATGCAAAAAACAACATCTTCTAGAGATAGAAAATCTTTGATATTTTATCAAATCTCTTATCCCAGTATCTAGGACACAGACATCTATGTGCCATCAACAGTACTATCTGGACTAAGTGTTAGCTACACTAAATTTTTCCTTGATCCTGTGCCAAGTTAGCATAAATATGAGAACAAAGCAAATCAGGTAGGAATTTGAAGACAAGTAAAGCTAGCATAAATGTATAAAATTAGATTGAGAAAAAAGTATGCATTATGATTGCATTACGGTTTCCTTAAGGTATAATACTATTATACCTTAAGAAAGTAAAATACAAGGTAAACCACATCTTAGCTCATTTTGGAAAGAAAAGGAAGAAGAAAAGGAAATGAGGCCAACACTAGGCTGACATGAAAATAAGAAAATAATAAGAGTGTGACAATAAGATGAGCACAAAGACTCGGGTCGGGGGTAGAGGTGGGGGGAGGTGAGCCAAGGTCTAGTTTTACTCTGATAATTCCTGTGAAATACTGGAATGCTGAGTTTATTTGCTTCCTGTGTGGTCCACGGGGATACAAGATAAAGAGCCAAACAGATTGCCACCCTGGCCTGAAGCGTACAGACTCCGCGTAAAGCATGAGATGCAGAGGATAAATGAAAAGAGGAGGAAGAACTATGCAAAAGTGGACACAACCATGCTGGCCAGGACCTTGACACTAGGTAAGGTGACCAACCAAAGTTGGGCCACCAACGCAGATGGAAAAGTTTCACAAAGCATTAGGATTAAAAATAAAAGAGGATCTCGTGTTGGTAGCTGCCCATGGTAACTGTTTAAAATCCTCTCTAGTAATATTCACTATCAAACCAGACAGTATAATCCCAGAACAAAACCCAAGAAATATGATTTCCCAATTACGTATAATGCAAACACACACACACACACACACACACACACACACACACACACACACACACACACACACAGTACCACAAATAAGAACCAGCACAAGAAATAATAGAGAGGAAGTTCCAAAATAAAAAAAGATTTCCAGTATTGAGAACTAACCTGAAATGGTAGAAGTGATAAAAGTGGAGAATGAAAAGTAATACTATCACTAAGGAAGAGATAACAAAGAGACGACCAAGAAGATTTAAAAAGAAAGTAGAATGCTGACAAAGGAAAATGACCATCTTTAGAAATCCAACTATAGAGTGAAATGTCTCAATGCTATAGAAACACACACAGTACAAGATCGTCCATGGCAAACACTCGGGAAGGCATCACCCACGAAACGCAAACATGAAAGACACCAGAGAAGTTCAGGCTCCCAGAACTGAGATGAAGAGTCCCACACTGATGAGGAAGTGGAATCAGCAGTTAACGTTAGACTTCGGGAAATTATGCTGCTAAATGAGGAGCGACAACTAAATGAATAGCAGAAGAGTATTTCAACTCCTGGCAATCAGAGGAAATCACACACCTGAAAGTTAAATGACAGGCAGGGCAAGGTGAGTCATGCCTGTCATCCTCGCTGCTCAGGAAGCTGAGATCTAAGGATACAGGTTCAAAGCCAGCCCGGGCAAGGGAAGTCCATCAGTCTCTTAGAAAAAGACTCCTCAGGAAAAGCTAGAAATGGTGTTTCAAGTGGTAGAGCGCTAGCCTTGAGTACAAAAAGGCTTAAGGACACTTAAAATTTCAGCCTATTACTAATTAGGCTACTTCACATTGGCCAATAACCCAACTCACCAGGAGAAGAAGAGTTTTAACACACTAAGAACTGATAACTTTACTTCAAATACATAGAAAACAAAAACTAACCAATCCACAAGGATAGACAAATTCCCAGTCACAGAAGATTTTAACAAATGTCTAAGAGAACCAGCCGACCAAAACTCAAAACATGAACAATACACATACAACAGACCCTGTTGAAAAAATATGCACAAACATACACCCAATCTTTCACTTGCCAACATCAGAGGGGAAATTTATAGAAGTAGGCCATTGGTAAGTCAGTATTTTCTGAACATAAAGAAATTAAGGGACGAACAGGAAAAGTAGAAAACCAGATGTAGAAAATCCCTAAAGTGATAAGAAATTAAATAATGTATTCTGGGACCAAGAAAGAAATCAAAATAGGAATCAGAGACTAGCTCTCGCTAAATGAATGAATATAAAATTATTACAAGCCAGAATTCTTGGCAGAGTCCAATCTTTCCCATCTTCCAATCAAACCATTTATATATTAAAAACAATTCACAGGCTCATCAATTTTCCTCCCATGGGAGCTCCACACATTTTAAGGAGACATGAAACAAATTGGGGGGAGGGGACCGGGGAATATTGAGTTCCTCCTTCATTCATTCAACCACATAGGCTCACCAAAGTGTACAAAAAGATACAATTGGCATTAATTAATTACTTAATGATGGTGCACACATCCCAAAAGCAGTGCCTACCTCCTCTCCAACCTGTCTGCCCTCATTGTTTTCATGGTTGGGCCAATGTGGTGATTCCTTTCCTTGACTCCTAGGCAGGGACAAATGAAGTCTTCTGAATTCCTCACACAGACACAAAGAGACAGACAGATAACTGATGATGGATGGAAACAGACGGATGGATGGATAGATAGAAAGAAAGATAGATAGATAGATAGATAGATAGATAGATAGGTAGGTAGGTAGGTAGGTAGGTAGGTAGGTAGGTAGGTAGGTAGGTAGATAGATAGATAGATAGATAGATAGATAGATAGATAGATAGATAGATAGATAGATAGATAGATAGATAGATAGATAGATAGATAGATAGAAGATAGATAGATAGAGACAAATTCCACCACCCCACTTTGGACTTGTCTGTTGTAATATTGTAATATTGTCCCTGCGTGTGCTTTCATTCACAGTTCTCACATGAGGTTGTAAACTCTCCTTACACCTGAGCCCTAGACCCCAGATGCCTCCTGGGTCTTTCTATCTTCATGATTGCTCTTTCCAACAGGTGATTCTCAGATGAGACCAAACGCATGATCCTCTCCCTCCCCTGCTCTCGATGTGCTTGTAACCCGCTTGCCCATCTTCCTTGCCCAGGCAATCTCCACTTCCCTTCCGGGTTGGGGCGGGTTAGCTTCATCCCATTTGAATGTGATTTCTACATGGAGCCCTGAAACCTGTGCTGGCGTGATTTCCCTGTTCTCCTAGATCCATGTGAATCTTGTTCTCTCCTTCCTCCTTGGAGATTTCTGTAGCCACTCAAGGACACCGTGGCTGGAGCCATTACTCCATCAGACCAGAACATACACCAGTACGTTGCCGATCTTACCTGGCCTACCTGACGTCTCGAGCATTGAGTCCTTATGTGATACGTACATTTGACATCTGTATCACATTCGAAGAGGTACTTACACAAAGTACAGGAAGGAATAAAAGAAGACATCATGTATTCCCTGTCAATATAGCGCCATTGGAGCTTCCCCCCCCCCCATATCCGTAGCCATGAAACTTGCTCCAAGAGTTTTATGTGAGACTGTTAGTTGCCAAAACTTAGGGTAAAAGTTTTCCTAGTTCTTAAGCACTGAATTACAATAGAATTCCAACCGGATGACACACGAAGTCCCACTTGAATGGGCAGCGGGGACGTTAAGGTCACCGCGATCATGCATGGCCAGAGAATTAATAGGAGCAGCTGGGCACAACAGGACTCTCTGTTCGTGGCTGAAAACACATCTCCGCCATGGCCGCCACAGCTGCACCGGGCACAGCTGCCCCCTCAGAAAGCACTCTTAAACGCTGGGAGCCTCTTTTAATCACGCTGCCCTCTTTTCTCCTCAGACCCATTTCCTTTAACATTATCCACCATACAACAGGCACAGTTGTGTTTTAGAGAGGCGGAAGAATGGGGACCGTGTCCCCCCCCCCACACACACACCACATGATCTTCCTTCCTGGGCCTTGCCCCCACTTCAGAGCCTCCTCTTACCCTTCTCCCTTCTGTATGAAGGGGCTTTTCCTTCCACTCAAGACTCTGAATGATAAACCTCATCTCCAGACACTGCCACTGTCCACTCCCTATGTCAGGGGGCTGTTCAATCCCCTCCCCTGGACAAAGGGCCCCCATTGACTAGAGCCCTCATTCACCCCTTCTTTGCCAGCTGTGATCTTGTCCTCAGGGATATTGAGAAATCGTAGTGTTCATTTTTTCTTCTCTCTCTCTCTCCCTCTCCCCCCTATTAACCTCTCTGTACTAATCAGACTTCCTCCAGCATCTGGTCTCCTGGAGAAAGAACTCTCTTGGGTTGGATTTGAGTCAAGGCTCTCCTGGTTTGATTTGGTTTTGTTGTTTGTTTGGGTTTTTCTATGTCTAACTACATACCAGCTGACAGCTTCTGCCCTCCGATGGACAGAGTTGTATGTGTCACGGACCACATGGCTTATATAAGGATAAGTCTTGTCTACAAGGCACGACCTGTCCAACTGCCATGCTGAGACCCCTGTACATGGTGAATCAAGGCCCAGGCATCCATCCAGGGGTGCAGCAAGCTGTGTGTCCCCTTCTCAGATCACCCAGAGAAAGATTTCACGCCCGACACTCATTGCAATTTGGGATGCCCATGAGAAAGGCTCTCTGAGGGCATCCTTGAGGAAGAGGGTAACCTATTTTTACATCCCAGAATCTATCACCCAAACCAGGGCATGATGGAGAATGAAAGTGGACACTATTAATAGTCACCCTGGGACAATTCACGTACACTGAGCCATATGGTCACCCCAATTCCAAGGGGACACCCAACCGTGAAGCTGACAAGCCCAACACACAAGCCAACCCACATCAAAGCAGGCTGGTATGATGCTCCTGCTTTCATTTGCGTTGTAACTCCTCTGGCCTCTTGGTCCCCTCCTTCCACCATCCCTGATCTACTTTCTACCCCACATCATGCACCGACAACGACTTACTTTTTAATTCTTTCTCCAAAAGATGCTACTTCCTCCAAGATGTTTTGGACAGTGGAGACAATATCCTGGACCATATAGAGTCTCTCAATGAACCCCTTTTTCTCAGATTCCTGGGGAGACAGAAGCGAGATTTAACGTAGCCAATGCATATTTTATTGTGCCTCTCCAGAACTCAGGCAATGGTATCAGAATTTAACCAACAGAGTTTTAAGTGTCCAATGTATCACAACTTGTTGCTTTATTATCACCAGCTGCCTCCGTTCTACCCCAGCTACCAGGTGGTGACAGGTCAAAACCCCTAGAAACCAGGGGCTTCGCTTCTGGGCCTGAGTGGCCTGGACCTTCCCCTGCAGAATTCCACAGGGTCTAAGCCAAGTGGACTCCGTGCTTGCCCTTCTTCTCAATGCCATCTCAAGAACCGTCTTCTCTTGCAGTCCTGCAGTACTGCTCCCACCGCAAGGATATGTTGGAGATACACATAACACGCTCCTTCACACTGAGGTTTCTTACTCAAACTGCTGCCATTTTATATCATGTGGCCAGCCATTGGCAGGTCTGAAGAACATTCCAGTCATTCCTCTTTGTTGGGCAAATACCAAAAGACCCTGCTTGAAGCAACTGGATCATGCATGGCCCTGGACCCCGGCCTCCCACATCATTTGTGCAGGGACATTGGAGAGTCGTCCATGTGTTCATGATAGCGTGAGCAATTAGAAGCTCATCTTCCTCGGTTTGTAATTCTTCGATGGCGATGGATTTCTGTTTTCTAAGCGCATCCTCCCCAACTTGTATATACAGACTTTAAATGTGCTTGTACCATGGTACATAAACCGAACGTTACCAACATAATCTAGACATTAGGCAAATGGCCAAGGAAAGAAAATTCCCTAATTTCTTCTCTTCTGTGAAAATCTCCTAACGTCTCCTCGAGCCACACCGTACTTGGGGTGAGATAATCTCATCGCTCCTGCCCCTCTTTGGCTCATCGCTACTCAGGTTCAAGTCTCAGCTCCAGATAAGGTTCAAGTCTCAACTCCAGATATGGTCTTTCTTAATGAGAAGTTTACTTGGGTTTAACTTACAGGAGGCTAATAAGCAAATGCTTCTAAGTTTAGGAAGTGAGTCCTATCATATTCCCAGTGCATCAAGAGGGGGAAAAAATCATGATATTCATCTTATGTTTTTGGCTTCATTAAACTGGAATCATGAAATGGAACACTACCCACCGCCCTTGAGCGATAGTCAATAACAGCACAAATTGGGTGATGATATCAAAAAGCACTAGCTTCCCTTCTTTTATCTGCCCTTGTTTCTGAGGCTAAGGGTAAAACAGACCAAAGACAAAGGCCAGGCTAGAACGTAGTATTATTACCTTCTCTCTTGAAGTACTGGGGTCTACAATGGCTTGAGGGACTTCTTCCCAGCTAGTCTGTTCTCTTACATAGCCATTTATTCTGTATTTCTTGTTTTTAACACTTTTTATTGTAAAAATACTGTACAGAGGGGTTAGTTACATGAGTAAGGTAATGAGTACATTTTTTTATCGAGCAGTGTTGCCTCCTCCTTTGATTTTCCCCTACCAACCAGTTAATATAGGAAGAAAAAAATGAGGCTCATCATTCCTTCTCGCAATAGCAAACTTGCAAGACACTTGCATTTTTATCCTAGTTTTAAATTCTTTTTTTTCCTCCCCTCCCTTACTATAATTCGCCTAAGCAGTTTGTATTAAAAATTAGATATGCAGCCAGACCGACCTCATTTATGTTCAGCCAACTGCTGACATCTATTCATGAACACAATGATGAAAACCCATCTCTGTCTCCTCCGTAAGTGCCCGGGTTTAGAAAAGGCACATTTGAAAGCACTGGGGAATTTGACCCAAAGGGCAAAAGTGGTTTCCTCTTTTCTACAGAAACTCATTTAGGTCAAAACAATTTCTTGGAAAAATGGCTCAAATTTCCATGTGGTTCAATTTAATAAAAAAAAAAAAACTTCCTATTTTAATTGCCTGATTTTTTAATTTTTTTTATTTTTGCCTATGCAACAACCAAATACCGCAGACTTGGTTGTAAAAAGAGGATTCGTGAATTAGTAAGACCAGACCAATAAATGATTTTGACAAAGTCCTTTTCATTTTTAATGAATTTGATGCTTTAGTTTCAATATTTGGAATCCAAAGACTAGGCTAAAAGGGCCTTACTATAATCCAGGGTAAAAAATAATAATAATTCATCATCCAGTTCCATTTACTCTTAAGAAAGTAATCAACTGCATGTAATTTTTGTTTTAATAAAACAACTTGGTTTTATCATATTGGTGGAACTCTATTATTCCATTTCATTTTCTTAAGCCCATTATTTCAAAGCAAAACAGAAACCTAAATTGTGCACATTAAAATGACAAACTGGTCACGATGGCCATGTGAACAGTTTAAATGACACCTAGTGGCATTTTAGTCCAATCTGTCTCTAATCCCATGCCAGGATTATTTTAACAATATAATTTCTAATGTCACCTTTTCACTTGTAATACTTCACAAAATTGTTCTTAATCATCTTCAGAGCTACACTAAATGGTCATTAAATTGACACCTTAATTGACTCCACTGTAGATCATCATTAAGCAATACTTTTCAAGCCAGGCGCCGGTGGCTCATGCCTGTATTCCTCCCCACTCAGGAGAAGTCCTACACAAGACTTTGCCACTGATAGATGAGAAGAAGAACTGTCCATCTGAGCCTATCTGAGGATTAAGACTGCAATCGTTTCTGTTCTCTGAAATGCCTAGATGCCTTTGGATACCGTCTGTGTGTATGTTGCAAGACATGGTAGCTTCTGTCCTAGAGGAGGATGCTATTTATATTTTCGTTCATTTTCTCCACAACCTTCCCATTCTGCTACCCTATGTCCCCACTTGAACTGATGGACCAGCAGATAAAGCCAGACTGCGCTATCTGACCTGGTTATCAGCAGCACCAACAACTCATGCCGGTACCTCCTCCTCGGTACTCGAGATGCTTGTTGAACAAATGGATGTGTGTAGGGCAAGAATAAGGCCCACATGTGTATAAGAGGGTCAAAAGTAACCCAGCTTACACTGATGGGTCAAAATAAGGACTATGATTTATAAGGCCCTGTGATCTAGTGGCTTTGAACTTGTATTAGACCACTTGTGGGGCTATAGCAAAGTCTGGGAGGCTTGCTGTTGTGCCCAGTAAAGAGGTTTATTTGGACGATGATTTGGATGACTGAGCTTACCACCAGCGTGGGCCTTGCACAGCAGGGACCAAGAACGTGGCATGCCCTTGCGTTATAACAACCAGTCTAGCAACCACTCATTCCACAGGGCTAGCATCACTCACTTTCCCCGGGTGGTTCATCGTGGCCCAATTCCCTTCCATGAGTCTCCTGCTCACTGTCACACTGGGGACCCAGTTCCTAGCAGTCAAACCCTTGGGAAACATACCCAAACAGATCCTACCCAGAGAAAGCTTTAACCATTTCTTGAGCCCCAGAACATGAAACCCTATCAGATACATTTATTAACAACCTGGATTACTCTCCAGGTGTTTCCTAAACATAAGCACTTCCCCTTCAAGAAGAGGGGGGAAAAGGACAAAGAAGGGCTGCCTTCTGTCTGGTTGAAAGAATAATGGTTTAATTTAAGTCTCCAAAGAAATGATCTTCGGGACAAGTCTACTCATGTCACCCCGAGTTGCAGGAAAGATCATTTGGCAGCTCCCTGCACCACGCTGCTTTTATTTACACATTTCAGATTGAACCGGGGAGTGTGGTGGTAACATAGTTTAGCAAACACGACATTACATCTGCGGCAGCTGCCAGAAAGGCCGAGGAAGGGAATGAGTCACGGAGAAAGTCGCCTGGTGCGCCCTGTGCCTGTGTTTGCATTTCCCTTTTCTCATGCAGGCTCATGATTTATATGTATGCAATCAAACAGTAGAGATGGTCACTGGTCAGGTTGTGCAAGTGGACACCATGGTGGGGATTAGACATCGATTTCCACTGGGTTTTTTTTTTTCCATTTGAAAAAGAAGAGGATTTTACTTATTCAAAAACCTGAAGAAGTCCACCATTCACATCTCATAAAATTCCCTTAAAAAAAATACCAAAAGGGGGGGACAAAATAGCACTGACTGCAAAAACGAACTAAATTTGTAACTCGAAATAGCAATCAGATAAAGATGAACGCAAGGTAGATCACCTTTCTATAAATTATCTCCTTTTCTAGAAGACATCAAATGGATCAAGTCTTTTGGACTAAGTTTTATAAACAGCCGCATTAAAGATAAATAAAGTGCCCACAGCATAGCATAGCTGCTGTTTGTTAAAAAAACAAACACAAAAAACACAAAAAACAAAGGCCATAAAGAATAAATCAGAAGGCAAGCCCTTCCTTCCTCAGAGCCTCGTTTTCTCCCCTGTGTTTCCAGCAAGTCGAACACTGTAGGTGCAATAAACTAGCTTTGAACCTCTGGGAGAGAATTAACACCATCAAAATGAATTTTCAACTGAGAATTAATTATATAATCGGTATGTTACTTTAAATCTTTCCTGCATGTTCTGATTTAGAAAAACTCTCATTCCTCTATTAATTATCTGAGCCAAACCAAAGAGATATCCCTGAAAACTGACCGGGGTAAGGGAAAAAAAATATTCTCCCAACACTCTTAAAAATGAAGTTCTGGGCTGGGAAGGTGGCTCAGTGGTAGAGCACTTGTCTTGCATGCTCGAGGCCCTGGGTTCGATTCCCCAGCACCACATAAGCAAAAAGAAAAAAGCCGGAAGTGGCACTGTGGCTCAAGTGGTAGAGCGCTAGCCTTGAGCTGAAGAGCTGAGGGACAGCGCCCAGGCCCAGAGTTCAGGCCCCACGACCGGACCCAAAAAAAAAAAAAAAAAAAAAAAAAAAAAAAAAAAAAAAATGAAGTTCTACTCATCCCAGAACACCCACAACTTCCAAAAGAATTGGATGCAAAATTTTTAAGCCTCAAATCTTCCCATTATTTTTAGTCACCCACAAGAGAGATGCAAAAAAAATGTGATCTTTGGACAATGAAAAGGCATTTGGTCTATTCTCTATTCCACTCCATAGT